TCGGGGCCGCGACTCCGCCCGCGCGGACAGCAGGCGAGGGGAGACAGCTCGCAGCCCGACCACGCCTCCAGCTTTCCCGCCTTGCCGGCTCGCAGCCACCGCGCGCCACGCCCCTCAGACGTCCTAGGACACCCCGCACGTCACGTGCCACGCGCCTCCGCACGTGCCACGCACCTCCACTCATGTCACACGCACCTCCACGTCACAGGAAGCTCTGCACATCACGGGAACCTCCGCCACGTCACACCCACCTGCACACGTCACAGGAACCTCCGCCACGTCACACGCACCTCCGCACGTCACAGGAAGTCTCCGCCCCCCAAGCCCAGGCCGGCGCACAGACGCCGACCCCGCTACTCACCGAACAGACTGCTGGAGTGGCCGCCTTTGGAGATGGGCTTCAGCTCGTTCAGCCCCCAGGCGTACAGTTTGTAATTGTCCCAGGCATGTTTCATCATCTGGAAGAAGACATGGGACAGATTTCAGCTGGGATGGTTTTGCTAGCGGTAGACCCTGTATTTTAAATCTAAGCTGAAACATGACAGTTCATGGCTTAATTAAAAGGGCAGTGATGGTATAAATAAATTAGAACATGTATGTACATCATGTACATACAACTACCCTTTTATGCTTAGAAATGGAAAACTTTCTCTTTAGAGTCCACTTAATCCTTGTTAATAAAAGTACCATTTAAAAAATTCAGTTCCCTATAGCAGAAAGTGAGCTTATCCCAAAAGGATGAATCATTCCTACATTTATCTACTTAATTCTCCTAACAAATTAGATCTGTAAGACTCTAAATTTAAAATGCATATTTTTGCCTTAAGTTCTACTTTGTTTACCTCATGCTGTGTAGACAAAAATTCAAAATTCTCACTTTAAGCACTAATGTTTCCTGATCAAGACTTACGGAGAAGTACTTCTGAAATATCTATAAGAAATAAAAAGTACACTTTGTGGTTATACCTACATTAAAATAACCTCCCATGTATTTTAATCACTTTTACTGAACATGTGCGTACATATGTCTATGTTTGAAAAGCCAAACTTCCACCCCATAAATTAGTTGTACACATTTTTTCATGACTCAAACACCACATATAATTACTTTTGCATAGATTTTCTTTTAAAAAGTTGAGGGACTCAGCTGTTTAGAACTTCCTCATGCCACTGTCCTTTGGAAACGAAGGACGGACAGGCTCCTCAAGTGTTAATCAGCTCCCATATTTTAAAATGTCTTCAAATGCATCACACAGATGCATCACACGTCACAGATACCATTCTGTCCACTCACCAGAACTCCTCGGTGAGGTCAGTGCGGCTGTATTCACGAGGAGCCTTGCCTGCCTCGAAGGCAGCAGGGAGCCTCTAAGCTCTCTCACCACTGTCACCACTACTCTTGGAGTGGGGCTCTCTACCGCCTGCTGGGGACTCTCAAACGTTTGCAGTGGGTGTAGAACTTATTTTTTGCTACAGTGCTGTGAAATACACTGTATTAGTATCATCTGGTAGACGAAGACACTGAAGCTTGGAACTTGGAAACAGAACGTGACTCTGAGCCTCGACACTGTCCAAGGCCAGGGAGTGGGGCTGGTTCTCACTCTGGCCGGCTCTAGAGCGAAGCGGAGAGCGAATAGACCGGCACAGCCCACCCACTGACACTCAGCTGGTGCTCTTCCAAAATCGAAAGACCCTGACCAGGGGAGTGCGTCAAGATTTCCTTCTTACACATTAACTGGAAAGTGCCATTGGTTTGCGGCCAGGTAACTTCACTTATAATCCCTTCAGTGTCACCAATTAGTCACACACACAGGAGAGAATCACAGCCTGAGGCTCTCTCCTTATCTAGAAAAGCTAGAATCCGAATTCCTCACCGTGCGTCAGGGTCCATCAGTATGGCCTGTGCTTGCAGAGGGCACTGCTTGACAGAGGGCAGTCGCACGTTTATTAAATGTTAAACAGCATATTAAATCAGTTATATTCACACCATGAAAAATAGAGACCACGGAGGCTCTGAAAGGCCAGGTACATGAAATGTACAAAACCACCCTTAGATTGTATCTGAATTTTGTTTTTTTCCACTAAATGTACTCTATTTGGCAAATTCTGTCCTGTAAATTTCCAAAGATAACTTTAAAAATTCCGAAGCTTTTAGAATACGCTTGACATAAAACAGAAAAAAAGGTTATCATAGCTCATTTCAGTGCTGATTCTGAATAAAGACCAGCGCCCACAGCAGAAGGACTCGGCTTGCAGTCCTTCTGCGGGGCAGGGTGCTGCTTTGTCAGGTGGCGTGGGTGGTGCTGCCAGCCCAGGTCTCCTCGAGTTTCCTCTGCAGTGCACGTGAACTTTTCCCACCGCAGTCCCCGGGACAGCCTGACACTAACTGCTCAGCTTCCCACATATCCAACATGGCGGAGACACATTTCTTCAAACAGGTCCCTCAGGAGATTCCGACGCTGACGTTAGAAAAGAAGAGATGATGTGGTCAGAGTGTGGTCTGAGGGTGGTTTCCACAGGACTGCGTAAAGTGAGAGACAACCACTGCGGTGACGGGCTGCTGCGGGCAGTCACCTCTCAGCCTGACCCACCTTGTTAAAACTGACAGGAAGAGGTGTGGCATGTGTGTGCACGTGTGTGTGTGTGTGTGTGTGTGTGTGTGTGTGTACATGGGCACAGAATGATCATGAGACTGGATTCACAAATCGTACATAAAATGCACAGCAGCCCAGGGACAGGGCTGATGCTCCTGCACAGGCCCCTGGCTTTTCTACTGCAGCCTTTTGTGAACTTAATTAGGGTTCCACAGCTTGACAGTCAAGGCAGAGCTTAAAACAGGCCTCAACTAAAGGAAGATTAGGACTTCAATGCATGCTGAGCCACTCACGAGAGAGAGAGAAAGTAAAAGCAAACCAAGGTATCTGTCCTGAGCGTTCACATTTGCGTTGGTGTGAAGTACAGTAGAGCTGATGAACTGCAGACAGAATCAGGCGAGAACGACACATTTCGTAACAGCAACCCACTGACTCAGGAGAGCGGAAGTAAGGCACAAGACAGGCAAAAGCTAGCATTTACTTAGCCTTGGTTCTCTGCTTATAGAAGAGACTCTTCGATTTGTACTTTCTTTTCAGTTGACACCCAGGCTGAGTAACTAGGCAGTATCATTTATGGAGCATCTCCTATCCTGAATAATAAGCCACTGCAGGGCTACACAGGAAGGGGGCAGGATTCCCTCTCACTTACAATCCAGCAGATAAAAGTGTGCACACTCAACACCCTCGTTAACCGCCAATGCAAGTTGGTAAACACAGGAGCTACTCAAATGTTATGTACGACACTACTGTTGTACCTAGCAATTTGTTTTCAATGCTATGTCCCACCTAACCAAGGACAGTGGGAAGAAAACTGCCTGCACTTCCTCACTTTCCTAACCTGAGTGTTTGGGGTTGCTAGGAGCTCTTCCTCGCGCCTATTTCTACTTGCTGAAGCTTTAACCAACTATTTTGAACTTTTCATCATAGACACATTAACATCCTTTTGAAAATCTCTCCATCTTCACCAGACAGGTCTTACAAAGATGTCAGGCTTTCATGGCCCCCTCAGGAAGCCCACAAGCTCAAGTCCCACTTACACCCCCCTCCAGGGGTCTTACACAGAATGTCCACAGTGACCCTGGCCCTCAGTCCAAAGATAGATACCTGAGGGCTGGACACGAGCCCTCCAGGATGGGCGGTCTGCTGTGTGGCGCTCACTACACGGACGGGGCTGGATGGATCCAATCCTCCACTCTACACAGGGCAGTACAACCTGGAGACGTTCAGACGGAACCTGGAGGCCAGCGAGCCGTGCAGATGCAGGAGCACACACACACACAGGAAGAGTCAGGAGGCTGTGGAGCCATGAAGGAAATACAGGGGAAGGAGGAAACGGGAACAGGGAGCTGCGAAGCGAGGGGCCAGCCACGGGGATGGAGCCAGTGAGACTGTGTCCACTGCAGAGCGGCTGTAGGACCACAGGCAATGGCGCTGACCACTACCCTCTCCTCCTCCTCCTCAGCGCAGCCCTCCACTGCTGAGATGCTGCTTACTGCCCTGGGCCTTAGCGAACAACCTCCCGTTTACTCAGAAGTGATGCACCAGGGAAAGGCAGCACACAGGCGTCTCACATCCCAACTCAGCAGCTGGGACGTGACTCCCAGGGCGGCCACTCGCATCCGGAGCTGACGTGCTGCCCTCACCACGCGGGAACAGATGAAAGTCACCCTGGCTGAGGTGACCAGCAAGTAAAATAGCGCAGTACAGGGCCTGACACAGCGCCTGACCCACAGGACGCGCTCTACACGTGAGGTATTTTTGTTAAAAACCTAAACGTGCCTTTGACCTTTGCAATCTTGACTTTCCTACATTTACTGGTAACATGGTAAACAGGCAGTGCAAACACAAGAAACCAGGCAAATCTAGACCACACACAAACTCTTTACACATCCATACATTTAGAAGTACGCAGTATTTGGTACCCAAAAGGCAGAAGATGAAAGGGCTCTTTTCAGGTTGAAGGCCACGAAGGACCTGGTAGTTCTAAAAGTTCATCTGCTGCTGTAAAGGTCCCAGAACTGAGCTTGTGTTGGGTTTGCTCAAGGACCCGGCTGGCTGGCTGACCCAGCAAAGATCTGACTCCTGTAGTGCCCAATGCACACTACAGGTGGTGCTTGGGTGCTTGGATGGGGCTGGTGTTTCTCGTGGCGGGGACAGTCAGGAGGACGGCTGGAGCGGGGTCGGGTGCAGGGCTTGGGGTGGGGCGGCTCATTGGGTGGCGGAGTTGCTGGGCCAGAGAACACAGGTCAGAGCAGCACGGGGTCTCTGTCCAACGCCTGTCTCGCCCACACCAGCAGCTGTGGGGTCAGGAAAAGCCAGCAGACGCAGCACGGCTCAGACATGCTTGCGCTGGTTCTGCACAGTTAGACGTGTAAGCACCTGAGTTCGGTGCCAGGGCTGTGGAGTTAGCAGGTCTTCTGGGGAGGAACTGAGACCAAGAGGCCAGGAGACCAGGCTGTCCCGCGTGTTTATGAGCAGCGTGCGGTGTGGCGCTCGGGGAAGGCCATGTGCAGCGATCTGCACGTCTCCACCGCCGAAAGGACACGGAGGCCCGGTCAGGGCCAGGCCAGGTCTGGGCGGGGACTCGGCTGAGTCGCAGGCGGTTGGAGTGGAGAGCCCTGAGCCCCTGCCCGAGGGTCACATGTGGGACAAGTTTGAAAAGCACTGGTTTTAAAAGCCGGACATTAATTTCCAGCAAACTCTGCAGAAATGACTTGCCTGCCATATAAAATCATTTCTTGAATTTTCAGACATAATCCCAGCACAAAATATTTTTAAAGTCACTGAATCATCTTCCCCTCCCCCAGGCTTTGGTAGAACTGCAGGAGGGAGAATGAGGGAATCAACGTACCAGCTCCAGCCTA